GGTAGTCAGAAGCTGTGGGCGACAAAATGGGTAGTTAACAGGTCTGAGGGTTTCCTTTTAGGATGAGGAAAATGCCTTGGAACTAGATAAAAGCAATGGTTGTACAACATTGTGAATGTGCCAAATGCCACCAGATTGCTCGTTTAAAAAATGGTAATAAGGGGCTGGGGTTGTGGCTCAGTGGTAGAGCGCTTGCCTGGCATGTGTAAAGCACTGCATATAAATGATAAAGGTCCATTGACAACTTAAAAATATATATATGGTAATGAACCAGGCATGGTGGTACACACCTGTAACCCCAGCTACTAGGGCATTGCCACCCCCCAAGAAAAAAAGCTTCTGAGGACAAGCTCAATCTGCAGTTAGGCCACATCTATGTAGCAGTAAGGAATGATGTGCAAGAAATGACTCATGAGGCACCTTTTTACTGGCTATTGAGCTACTCATTTCTGCATTTGGTTAATATTGACTTTCTCACTAATGTTCATCTTGTCTCTCCAATAAACCTCCTTGAGTTTAGAATTGTCATCATGAATTAGTACCAGGTATACATACAGTAGATAGCTCACCAAAGATTTAACTGCCTTATTTAAAATAATTCCCAACTGGCTAGTGTTTCTCAAGATGTGAGATGTATCCAGTTAATAGGTTTATAAGGAAACAGACCTATTAGTATAATTTCAAAAGGGAAAGACTGTCCACTTCTTCTGATTACATGAAACTATAATTTGTGTATACTATCTTCAGCACAGATAGCCTCTATTTCTTACAAATTCACAAACCTCCAAAGTATTTTTTGTTACTGGGGAATAGACCTTGGGGGGGCTTTACCACTGGATTACATTTTCAGTCTTTTTGAGGCAGGGTCTAAGCTGCTAAGGCTGGCCTGGAAGCCTCCTGACTCAGCCTCTCAAATCACTGGGGTTATAGGCACGCACCATTGGGCCTGGTAACCTAAATGAAATGTTTATAGCTTTGTGTTTCTGGGATTAAACCCAAGGCCTTGCACATGCTAGGGAAGGATGATATACCAAGGACTGTAGTCCTACTGCTGCTGGCTTCTTTTTTTTGGTATTGTGAAGTGAACCCAGGGGCACTTTATCAGAGATATATCCCCAGCCCTTTTTATTTTTTTGAGAATCTTGCTAAGTTGCTTAGACTGGCCTCAAACTTGCAATCCCCCTGCTTCAGCCTCCCGGGTCCCAGGTATTACAGGCGTGCCACTGCACCTGGCCTGGCTTCACTTTTTTCCCTTTCTTTTGGTACTGACGATTGAACCCACTAAATCATTGAATCACATCCCCAGACCTTTTTATTTATTTTTGAGACTAAGTGGCTAAGGTTGGCCTTGAACTTGAAATCCTCCTGTACCAGAGAATACAGGTGTGTGTTACAACACCCAACTGGCTTTCTCATTTTGAGTGTCAACTGAGTGTTTCCAGTAGTGCCCGTCTGCGAGATTCATCAAATCTTTGATAAGAGTTCACTGATGTGACAAGAACATCACATGCTAACAAGATGCTGCCACATTTTGTGAGGATCATACCATACACTGCACTACAAAAGCAGAAGTCAAAAGCTGAAGCTGGAAAAAATGCTTGGGAGAAAAAAAATCCATTACAAAGCAATATATGTGACTAACATTGGTCTGCTCCCAACCAAAGAAGGAGGGGGAAAGAAGAAGCATTCAGTCAGTGGCTATATTTAACAAGTATCAAGATCTAATTGCCTAAATTTTATTATTCCAACTGCTATGTAAAGAGAAGTGTCAGCTGCTTTGGGAATGTACTTTTGCCTTCAATCAAGGTGGGAAGCCACGCAACTGTGTAAGACAAGCCCATGGGTTACATAGTTCAGAAAGAAATGGTTGAGTCTCTTCATCAAAATTAGCTTACAGCATATTCCAGTAACACACACCCTAGTACTGCTTATAAATCAAAGAAGAAAGAACAATGCATTATATAACACATCCCTTGAAACAGGGAAAAAGAGGATTATTCTGTATGAATATTATCTTTGGCCTCTGCATCACTTTGTCCCACTTCAGATTCCACAGCAGCCGGGGCAGGAACAGCCACTGTTAGGGCATTTTCTGCCTCTGCTGCCAGCACTGTGGCCTCACTTCCTGCCTCAGCTTCGGTACTGCCCTTCTCAGATGATGTTCCACAGGAAGTCTGCTCTTCCAGTAGCTGTTCAATGTGGAGATCGCTGCTGGCCTCTGTTGCACCCACTGGGACTTGCCCTTCAGCCAGCATTTCACCACTCTCACCAGCTGGCACTCCTTCCCCATCAACAGCTCTCACGGCTGCTGTAATCACCTCTGCTAAGACTTCTGCAGCCACCTCCTCAGGTGTCTCTTCCTTATCTTCACCTCCTAAATTATCATCTCCTTCTATTTCAGGATCAACGGTTTCATTAGTGAAAGGGTCCTCACCCTATACAAAAGGAAACACAGATCAGTTGGAGAAATGAGTTTGAAGTAGGCCAGGTTTCTGGGAGCTCATGTTTTCAGGCCTGGCAGAGTCCACCAGAGAATCTCTTAAATTCCCAACAGCTTCAAAAAAGACTTCTCAGAAAATCTTCACCAGAACTGTTTTGCAATCTTCTCTTTGTTTTTAAATATGTATTTAGTTGTAGATGAACACACAGTATATTTATTTTTATTTTATTATTTTTTAATTTTTAAAAAATATCTTTTGTTTATTCATTTTTATGTGGTACTGAGGATCAAACCCAGCGCCTCACATGTGTGAGGCAAGTGCTCTGCCACTGAGCCCCAGCCCCAGCCCCTGTATATTTATTTTTATGTGGTTCTGAGGATCAAACCCAGTGCCTCACACAGGTGAGGCAAGCACTTGACCACTGAGCTACAACCCCAGTCCCCCCACTTTTTTTGTGTGGTACTAGGGCTTGAACCCAGGGCCTCACATGTATATGCTAATAGGCCCAGCCCCTGTTTCGCATTTTTTATTCACACATATAACCAGGAGGCATAGTTTGGATGTAGGATTTCTTAAATGACTTAATAAACAGTTACAGGAAGACTATTTTTAAATTTTAGTTTAATTTAAGCTCATGGCCCTTATATGAAGATTGTTCTCACTTTACAGATAAGGAAATGAAACTTCAAGATCATTAATTTGCTGAGCACAATGGTGCACTCTTATAATCCAGTGGCTTTAAAGGCCGAGGCAGGAAGATGGCAAGTTCAAAGCCAGCCTCAGCAACTTAGCAAGGCCCTATCTCAAAAAGATAAAAAGAGCTGGGGATGTTGCTCAGTGGTTAAGTGCCCCTGGGTTTAATCCCCAGACCCCCCCCCCCCCCCAATTTAAAACAAAAAAGCAAACTAACTTGCCTGAGATCACACAGCTATTAACCATTAGAGTGATGGTTCTAACCCAAGTGTAACACCCTCAGAAGCCACACTTCTCACTAGCACACGCCAATATTGTCCCTACCCTGAAAAAGGTATTCTAAAAAGCATCCCTACAAAATTAAGAAGCATGTTTTAAAATATGGTGCTTAAGCTGGGGGTGTAGTTTTCAGTGGCAGACTGTGTGCTTAGTATGTACAAGACCCTGCACTCAATTCCCAACATGAAAAACAAATAAGTGAAATCTCTCTCTCTCCTCAACAATTACCATCTACCTTTAATTTTTTTTTTTTTGAAACAGGTCTCACTATGTTGCTCAGGCTGACCCTCTAAGTTGTCACGTAGCCAAGGCTGGACTGATGCATTCCAGTATCAAAAAGACTCAAAATTGGAGTCTTTTGACGTATACTACCAGAGAAATGAAAAAGCTGTGCTCCATTTGTGTACAATGAACCAAATGCATTCTGCTGTCATGTATAACTAATTAGAACAAATATATATATAAATATTATATATTTATATATATATTTATATATATATATTTATTTATATATATATATATAATATTTATATATAAATATATATATATATACATAAATACTACACTCTGGATATAATTCCATACTCATCCTCCATTTCAAAGACTTCTCCTGCCCCTTGGATTCCAAAATACAAACCTTGAGGTATTTTTCCAGCATCTTCACTATGTGTCTGTTGTTCAAAACACTCTTAGCCACGTGGAGACTTGTTTTCTTGAACTGTTCAGCAGCCAACTGCAAAGGGAACCAAACATGGGATTTCTAAAATGCAGAGGAGTAAGAGAACAAACTAGCCAGATTATTCCAAGCAGCCCTCAGAGGCAACTAATACCATTTTTTGTTGACACAAATATCAAAATGCCAGGCTACAAAAATGAGAGAAAGCAGGCCATCTGTGAGTCTTTGGAATAAAGACAGTGAAACCAAGTAGAACAGTTTAATAATCTGAAGACAAAAACAGAGACATGCCATTGCTATCAACATGCCATGTAAAGAAGCAAGAAAATTTACAATTACAAACTATATGGATTAAGTAAGGGAAATGGATAAGCCTTCACAATAAGTTTAACAGCAGCAATAAGAATGTGTCAATGTGTTTTAGAGCTTACACACTGACATACTAATCCCTTGCTTGCAGAGTGCTTTTTTGCTCATTTTTAATAGTACTGTGGCATGGTAAGCATCTATTGAAACCACCAGTTACCAGTTGGGTAACTATAGATAAAGATGTTGTTAGTGGGGTGTGGTGGAGAATGCCTGTAATCGAAGCTACTTGGGAGGGTGAAGCAGGAGAGTCCCAGTTCCAGGCCAGCCTGGGCAATTTACCAAGACCTGCCTCAAAAACTAAAGGGCTAGGGATGTAGCTCAGTGATAAAGCACTCTGGTTCAAACCTTGATGTAGAAAAAGAAACATGTTTTAAAATATGGTGCTTAAGCTGGGGGTATAGTTTTCAATGGCAGACTGTGTGCTTAGTATGTATAAGACCCTACCATTCAGTTCCCAACATGAAAAACAAATAAGTGAAATCTTTCTACCTCTCTCCTCAACAATTACCATCTACCTTTAATTTTTATTTTTTTTGAAACAGGTCTCAACCAACAACAATGCTACATTAAACCAGAGGTCCACAACACTACAGCCTATGGACCAAACTAGCCACACCCACTCTTTATCACCCCTCACCAGACACAGATACATGGCCTTGCAGGGGATGAGCTTTAGGAACCCTTCAGATCACGAAATTCAAAGATGCTAAGGCCCATATATAAAATGGTACAGGCATCTGCACAAAACCTATGCACTGCATGTATACCCTCCCTACACTTTAAATACTACGTACATAGTTGTTATACTGATCAGCAACTACTTCAGTCTATGGGTGTGAAACTCATGGGTAAGGACGATTGAATATACTTAGAAACTGACAACAACAACAATAAACCGTGCTGACTCTTAAGTTAAACATTTAGCCTCAGGACCCATTAGCTCACAAGGACACAACTTGCCCTGAAACCTAGGTTCCCCATACCCCTGGGCTCTTAATGGCCCTGAGCCTCAGCTTACAGATGTCCATAGCTGTCCAGCTACTAGGGAATGTATGTGGTGGTTAACAGAACATTCTGAGGGCTGGGGATGTGGCTCAAGCGGTAGCGCACTCGCCTGGCATGCGTGCGGCCCGGGTTCGATCCTCAGCACCACATACAAAGATGTTGTGTCCCCCAAAAACTAAAAAAATAAATATTAAAAAAAAAAAAATTCTAAAAAAAAAAAAAAGAACATTCTGAAATCAGGACAATTTCAGCTATTGTATTTGATAAATTCTAAGCAACTTATTTTCTCACTTTTCTGTGTGTAGTGGGGGTGGCGGGGTGGGGAACCAAGATACAAGTCTCAATATGTTACACGGATTACGTTTTTTTTTTAACATTTACTTTTTAGTTGTAGTTGGACACAATACCTTTATTTTATTCATTTATTTTTATATGGTGCTGAGGATCGAACCCAGAGCCCCACATATGCTAGGTGAGCACTCTACCGCTGAGCCACAACCCCAGCCCAGAGTTACTTTTTAACAGAAATTGGGGTGAATCTTACAGCCAATGAAATGACAGACAACAGAAATACAACAAGAGACCCTATCAGTGTGAACACTTTCGGTATGAGACAGAAGGTCTGAGCCCCACTCTCAAGGCACCTATGCCCACATCAGAAGACTCACCCTGCGGTTGTGGTTGTGGTCCACTGAATGCAGATGCCGTTGGAGGAGCTGGTGCTGCGCGGGAATCAGCATGTCACAGGCCAGGCAATGCGCAGCCTCGATCTTCTTGAAGAAGTGTTCCTGGCCAATCCCTGTGATGCAACCCAAGCAAGTGATGCTTTCTCACTGTTCCCCAACAAATCCCACATTTTCTCCTTTCAATGCTCTCTAATGATTCAGTTAGGACAAAATGAGAAAGGCATTGCCTGCTCTCCCACAGCAATGTGGGGTCACAGCAACTGGCTCTACACTCAAGAATTCTACATGTCAACTTTGCTGATCATTCTAGTCTTCTCTCTTCATAACAAAGAGGGGGGGACCCCCACCATGTTGTTTAACATCACTCTGATAAGCTGCCTGTGGAACTGTGATCTCCATTAGCCAGATTTGGGATTTTTTTTCCATTGTAAGTGTTCTTCCCCTGGGGCCTGACTTCACATTCTCAGCAGCTCTCTGCTAAGGATAGAACCCTGGGCTTCTAGCATGCTAAGCACTCTACACACCTAGCCCCATTTGTACTATTATAAGGGTCACTTCCATGCCTTACTATCATTTAAAATAACCTGCTCTCTGGCATCATAACTCACCTTTGAAAGGATCTGGTTTTGGTTTTGTGCTTTCCTTGTCTATCAGTTCCTGACGCCTCTTCTCAATCTTCTTATTCCTGTTTACAATGTATTCCTAGAGGGGTGGGATATGGCACCAAATGAAATGAGAGGACGATATTTCTCACCTGCACAGAGGGTGGGAAGATCCTATCTGAGATTCTGTACAGAAACTATGGTAGCTGGAGCTCTCAACTGCACCTCTGACTCAGTGATTTGTACAACTACTTTAATCTGGGAAAAGAAATTGATCATATTTAGGCTTCTCATTTCCCTACCGCTTCCCTTCTCTGCAAGGGATCTGACACCTGTGGAATAGTTGGGAAATGCTGCAGTGGAGGCCAAGTGTCCTTTACCTGGAGGAACTCTACTGTCTTGTCAGGCAGCTTGGTACTTATAAATCGCAGTGTCTCTTTGTGGAACTTGCTTTGCAAATGCTTCTGGATTTCTTCATCTTCAAAGCTGCGAAACTTGCATACTGAACAGGCAAACTGAATCCTGAAGAAGGAACATGAAAAGAACAGTGGTGAGGTAAGATCACCAGATCATCACTGGGTAGAGCTGAAATGGTAAAGGAAACACAATTTTTTAACCAAGCCTTCTCACTTTTTGCAGGGAGGCGGAGCAGTAGTTACCCAAACTTACCCCCACCATCTGAAGAACAGGATACAGCCGTGCAGCTACTTCAGGAAAATGATTCACACAATAACTCTTTAACATATCAGTCTCTCTTTAGCCCAAATTCTCTAAGAGAACACCCTGAAATGGTGACTTTTTAGAATTGTGGACTTCCCAATCTCTACTTGACTGCTCTGGGAACTTCGTATTTAACTCCACAGCTTCTCAGATGGGTTTGTCTTTAGCCACCAAGATGACATGTGACAATCTTATTTTATGTGAGAGAAAAATTCTAGTTGCTGTGGCACTGCACACCTGTAATCCTAGTGACTCGGGAGGCTAAGACAAGAGGATCCAAGTTCCAAGCCAGGTTGGTGGTAGAGCACCCCTACGTTCAATCAGTAGTACTGAGGGGAAAAAAAATTTCTGAAGACTTTACATAATTCAAAGTTCACATAACACAAAATAATTTCTTCCTTGAGACTTAACATTCTGGATTTTATAAATAAAAGCTTAAGCTCCTGTCGTGTGCTTCCAAAGCTTCACCAAATGCAATCAGGTTGTATGGCAAGGGAGAGCAGCTTGCAGCACCCCTGTACACCCCCAACCGAGAGGGTTAAGGGTGCAGGCAGGTGGCATTCGGGATTCCTCATCTGCCAACTCAAACTTCTCCCTACCTGGTTTTGATCTCTGACTACATCATACGGCACTCTGGCTTTTACAGACAACTCCAAACAGAGGAGCAAAGAGGACTATTTCATGAGTTCCATGAAAAGAACTAGAAGAAAGCTACCAAAGAAAGGCAGGGAATCCACACTTCCCTACTATATTTTTACCTCCTCTGTAACAATCTAAGATGACTGAGATCCTTAGCTTTCCAGTGTGGTCTGTCTAAAGATTTCTTTTTTTTTTTTTTTTAAGTTATTTCAGTTTCCATGTTACATGAAAATAGACCCAACCTAACAGTCATTTATCTGTTGAAGAAAAAAGTTTTCATGAGTTTCTGTACCACTTACGAAGAAATGAACCTATGACTTCTCAGTCTCTATTGTTTTTTGCCAAGCATTTCTTTGCATGGAAAAATCTGTCCTGTTTGAGCGTTAAGATAAAAAGAGAACCTGTACAGAGAAGCTGCAAAATCGGGACGGTAGGATGATGTATACATATATTCTTGCTATATCTTATTCCAGAGGTGATCTGGATTTGGACAAAGCACCAAGTCACCTTTTTGCCAGCTCTGCTAAATGAAGGTCACTTTCTGGAATGCCAAATGCCAAGCTAGGAGAGAGGACACCCCTCAGGCCTGCTGGAGCACAAGGGAGACCCCTGCTGGGCATGTATGGGCCACACAGTCTTGCCAGCAAGGTATAATTCCAGATGTGAGACTGAGAAAGAAATCCGCCAGAGGTTGATTCACCAAGTAAGAGCAGAAATGCAACTACACCTGTCTTTTCTACATATTCTCAATTGTTTCCCACGTTCTGTCTACACTGACTTAGGCTTAAGATTTCCTGACACTTGGCATTCAGACCAAACCAGACTTTCCTAAATTATGGAGCCAGAACAGGTAAGCTCAGTAAAGCCGAGACAGTGCCCAGGTCTGGCCACAATAAACAAGGGGTCTGTGCCTAAATCCTTGGCTCTGTTCATCCTCTTGGCTTCTCACCTGTCAGCTGCTCGGTCCCGCATCCTGTCTCTCCTCCTTTGCTTTTCTCGTCTCTTCTTCACTTCCTCATCCTCCTCATCTTTCTCTCCTGAAACAAAGAAGTCCCTTCGAGATGCTCTGAGGAGTCTGCAGAGGAACTGAGCTCCAAGGCCTTGTTGGGGGCTGCAGTTTGGCCAGCACACCCTATGCCCATGCCCGGCCTCTGCCTCCACAATGTGGCAGAGTCAGGTCACCCTGAGGTGTGGCCATCAAAGGCTCCTGATGGACAAGGGTCTTTGATGAGAACCCAGAGGAGTCAGTCACCTCACTCCTCACATGGCCTAACAAGGCAAGGATGGCAAGTCCATCCCACTCACATGTAGCCCGTCTGCTCTGACCTGCCCCAGTTTGCTAGTCCAATCTGGTGCCGTATCATTAGGTCTTCTCACACTGTCACTTAAAGAGAAAGTAATTCTCCCCAGGTACCAACACAGCAGCTGGAAGGCCTGGGAAATAAAACAAGCCACTCTACTGCCCTCTGGATGACCATCCTGACAGCCTCTTCTGAACTAGGGCCTCAGCAGGTCTGACAGTCCTTGCTGGCCCAACCTCCATCTTCCGTTCACAGACACCACCAACCTAGGGCTTTCCCAAGGCTATGTGGGAAGCAATCCTAGAAACAAAAATGGGAAGAGACCAATTGGTCCTCCCATCTGCCCCCTGGGGCCAGCGCAGGAGCTCACTGGAGAGCTTTGTGGCCAGCGTCCCAGTGTGAGATCAGGCAAGTCCTGAGGCTCAGGGCCAGGGCTGAATGCTGGAAAAGGTTGGATAAGCATCTGAACTGTGACCCCTACCCCTGATGCCAGTCCCGATACTGTCCCACGAAGATGGCGACCGGCGTGCGCTGCTCAGAAGCCTCTCAAAAGGGCGTAGTGGGACTTTTGGCAAGAGGTCACTGCCTGAAACTATGACTGCTGTTTAATAGCAAAGTCATCCCAGGTAGGTAGCAGGACCTGCGCGCAATAAACACGTCACCTTTGCTTTAGCATTTACCCGGCTGCATAGCTGCTGAACACTTGGTGTGGTCCTGCACTAAGGACACAACTGCTTCAATATGTAGGGTGGGGGCACCTCAGAGAGTCAGCTAAGCTTGAGAACCTAAGAGGAGAAGCCAAGGGCCTTCACCGTTTACCACAATTGGGCCAGCTTATCATCCTTGGGGTAACCAGTTATGGCCAGACAGCAAGAGAAACAAGTAGTTTTGGGGAGACTCAGGCAGACTGTGGCTCAGGTTTCTTCATGTCCCTCCAAAGGGTAGACTCTTGTTCTTTGCTCACTGCTTACTTTAGGCTCCTAGGTCTCCTGTACTGGACCAACGAGACCTACTGAGCAATGGCTGACTCTAGAGACCTCGGCCTGCTATATCTGACAGGCTGCCCTCTACTACCTTACTCCCAGCCCTGACAGGTATCTGCTGTCACATACCCGCAGGCACTACAGGTGCCAGTATCCCCAGCAGGGAGACTGAGGGCACAGCTCTGGGTTGGCAACTGACAGACTGGATTTATAAATTCCCCGACAGTTCAGGAACCTGCACTGGCTGGAGGGAGACAGAGAAGATGGGACAGAATGGAGGCCTCTTCCCTTAGGCTTCTGAGACTATCCCTTCCTACCATCACAAATGTCACAGACACTGGGTTGGGCTCCCCGACTCTGCAGCCTGCACCAAGGAAGGCAAATGGATCCTTTTTCAGCAAATAATGCCCCAGACATTTTGGAACAAAGCCTCAGAGTGATTACCACAACTTATACCCACCCAGCAGCCACAGCCCCCCTTTACCCTGAGTCATGGGCCCCTCTATGCAGGCCTGTGGCATGCTCATAAGCCCACCCTGACTGGGTGATGGGTGGTAAATGTGGGATAGACACAGGACACTTAACAAGGGACACTGGGTAATGCCTACCTCTCTGCCTCCCGGAGTCGCAGAATTCGTCCTCCTGAAAAAGGGCATATGCAAAGTTGGGCAGTGAGGTAGTACTTCCAGAATTCTCCACAAAAAGTCCAGCCCATGTCAACACCTGATAGATGGTGTTACCCTAGACCTAGGATGCTGTGCCACCAGGAAATGAGCCACTGTGCATCAGGACAAGCCTCAAGACTTTGGAGAGGAGCTTGAAAGTCTTGCTGCTATACCTGGTTGCCTTCAGAGACTCTGTGATAGTGACTTTTCTGTCATCAAGTCGCTAACCCTTTTTCAGTTCTTTCTAAAGCTACAAAACTTGCCCCTTAGCAAATACACATCTGTAGTTTTGCACTCCAGAATACCAGGAGCCCATCTATTAACTGTAGGTTAAGCTATGATTTTGGGCTGGGGATGTGGCTCAGCAGTAGAGTGCTTGCCTAGCATGTGCGAGATGCTGGGTTTGATCCTTAGCACCACATAAAAGTAAATAAATGAGATAAAGGTATTGTGTCTGACAACAACTTAAAAAAAATACATATATAAAGAAGCTATGATCTGTAGGAAGCTAATTCCAGCATTCTGAATTGAAAATAGGCTTCAAATTTCCAAGCATTTGTTTGTATTTACACAATAGTCTAACAAATCAGGTGTAAATAAAACACAATCCCTCTAACTGTATACCTGAACAGAGCTTATGCCTTAGGCAGTGAGCCTAAGATTAAAGTAGCAGTCAGAAGACTTGCAGAGCTTCTCTGACTCAAGACTTATGCTATGGGTTTAATAAAGATCTAAACCAGCTGAATAAGAAGCAAGTGAGAGTCAAAAGCTACAGTCACTGTATCCTGAGAACCCCCACCCTATCTGACCATCAAAAAGAATCTGGAAGAAGGCTTCTCATACAGAAAACCTTCTCTAGGATCTACCCCTCAGAAGGATCAGAATTTGCAGAACACAGGGAAGGTACCCTCCCCAGAGACATGGTGTGGTCTTAAGACCTGGCTTTAGATGCCACTATTCTGTGGCTAGTTTTGAGGACAGAAAAAACATGGACTTGGGTCAGTCACACCCAGCATGTAGCTGGCAGCCAATGAGCCTCCAGTGTGTGTCTGCCAGTCTCAGCTTGCACAACCCGTGCATTTACTACGCACATGGCTGGGTCCAACACTACATAGGATCAGGGCAAGGGGCTAGAAGCTCTTTTAGAAAGAGAATCATTCTTGTCTGAAAAATCTTAGAAACTCAGCTACAAGCTGGGGTTCCAAATCCACTCAGAGGTAGGCAGAGTGGAGTCTAGCAGGGTAGCTATTCCCACCTCTTGAAGGAGAAGTGCAATAAAAGAAAAAAATCCCACTGAGACAAAGGGGGCTGGCCCCTAAAGGTGGACTTACACCCCTGAATTCTTCATCTCCTGACCGGAAGTCGCCAGCTCCATCATCTGCCAGATATAAGGGAAAAGGAAAAGTCAGTCCCTGGGTGAGTGGTGCCATTCTCTGTTTTCACTCTCCTATGCTTACTAACCAGACCAACAAGTCCATCCTGACACAGTAGGGGCTGAGGGAACTTGGGGTTAACACACCACCCTTGGTTTCCCTCATGTCTACTGGGCAACTGACTCATCTCCTCTACCCAGCCCACTGGCCCCAGGGCATACCGTTTTCAGAAAAATCTCCTTCGCTGTCAGCCCGAGCCAGTTTGGCTTCTGGTTCCTCGTACATGGGAAACTGCTTTCGCTTCCTGCCCATGCTGTCTGGTCCGAAGCGCTCAAACCCTCTCCTCCTGGGCTACAGATATAAGCACACCCCATGTACCACTTCCCTGGGCCATTAAGATATCCCACAAAAATGAAGAACACAGTTCTTAAGATCCAAGAACAAAAGCAGAAAACAGTCTTTTTTGAAAAGCAGAGAAAAGACAAC